CTAATTCTACTTCATCTTTGCTCTATTTATACCTCTAATTCTAGTTAATTTCTAATTATCTTTTTATTCTAATCCTTAATCATCTTTAATTATAATTCTCATTCATTTTTTATTCAAATTCTCTTTCATCTTTAATTCGATTTCTAATACATTTTTTATTCTAATTTTAGTTCATCTTTAATTCTAATGCTAATTCATCCTTCATTCTAAGTCATCTTTAATTCCCTTTCAATTCTAATTCTCTTTCACTTTCAATTCTAATTTTATTTCCCTTTCAATTCTAATTCTAATTCCCTTTCAGTTCTAGTTCTAATTCACTTTTAATTCTAATTCTAATTCACTTTTAATTTTAATTCTAATTCACTTTTAATTCTAATTTTATTCACTTTTATTCTATTCTAATTCATTTCATTCTATTCTAATTCACTAATTTAATTCTAATTCTAATTCCTTTCAATTCTAATTTTATTTCCCTTTTCAATTTCTAATTCTAATTCCCTTTCAGTTCTAGTTCTAATTCCTTTTAATTCTAATTCTAATTCACTTTTAATTTTAATTCTAATTCACTTTTAATTCTAATTTTTTCACTTTTAATTCTAATTCTAATTCACTTTCAGTTCTAGTTCTAATTCTTTTTGTTCTAATTCACTTTTAATTCTAATTCTAATTCACTTTTAATTCTAATTCTAATTCATTTTCAATTCTAATTTTTTCATTTTATTCTAATTCTAATTCACTTTCATTCTAGTTCTAATTCACTTTTTTTAATTTAAATTTTTCTAATTCTAATTCACTTTTAATTCTTCAAATTTTTATTTCACTTTTTATTATAATTCTAATTCACTTTCAGTTCTAATTCTAATTCTAATTCACTTTTAATTCTAATTTTAATTCAATTTTTAATTCTAATTCTAATTCTAATTCCTTTTCAATTCTAATTCTATTTCACTTTATTCTAATTTTATTTCACTTTTAATCCTAATTCTAATTCCCTTTCAGTTCTAGTTCTAATTCTTTTCATTTCTAAGTTCTAATTCTTTTTCATCTAATCTAATTTCAAACCATTTAATTCTTCTATGAAAATTCTTATTTCATTCCTAATTTCGTTCTTTACTTTTAATTCTAATTCTAATTTAATTACAGTCTAATTCTAATCACTTATCACATCTTATTCTAATTCATATTTAATTCATAATTCACTTTTAATTCTAATTCCAATTCCCTTTCAATTCTAATTCTAATTCCCTACTAATTCTAATTCTAATTCACTTTTAATCCTAATTCTAATCCTATTTCTAATCCCTCTCAGATTCCCAAACTGAAGTCGACCAGCAAGATGACGAAGTGCGTGGAGTGCTGGGGGGCGGACACCCCCTTCGCCTCACTCAAAGAGGGCACTAAGGCAAAGAATCTCAAATTAACGGTAGGTTTTTTTTGCGTGTGTGGATGTAGGTGGATGTGTGTGGGTGTGTGGGTTGTGGGTGTGGGTGTATGTATGCGTCGGTGTGTGTGGGTGTATACGTGGATGCGTGGGGTGTGGGATATTTGTGATGCGCGTGGGTTGAGTGTGGATGTGTGTGTGTGGGTGGGATATTTGTGTATGCGTGTGGTGGAGTGTGGATGTATGTGGATGCGTGTGGGTGGGTGGAATAATTTGCTATCGTGTGGTGTCGGTTACTTGCTAGAAGAGGGAGAGAGAGAGAAAGAGAGGGAGAGAGAGAGTCAGAGAAGGGGGGGCAGCAGAGAAAAGAGATGAACAGAAGTGTGTGGGACCTTCCTAAAGACCTTTAGAAGGTCCTTGAACTATAATCATTGAAAACAAGAAAAGAAAATCAGGACATAATGATAAGGTAAATAATTAAACTTAATAATACAATCATGGAATGACATTGTAGCATTAATTATTTTATGGGAAATTACACAGTAATAGCATAAGAGCATACATAGATGTATAGTTATTAATATACACACATAAACATAACACACAATTACTAATTACACATACACTGCAAATACATCCTCATATATTACACATACATATTGTATAGATATAAACATACAACATACTTAAATATAAAATATCGTATGCCACAGAATATTCATATATACACACACACCCAATGTCATTCATATATATATATTATATTATTATATATATATATATTATATAATATATATAATAATATATATTACATATATATATTATTACTATACTATTATATATGTATATATCTACTAGTATTTATATTTATATAATATATATACCATATAATTTGTGGATGCGTGTGGTATATATAATATAATACTATAATATATATTAGATATATACTATATATATTAATAGTATATAGCGATCATTTACACATACACTACAAATATATACCACTTATACACACCATAATATACATACACAGTATACCATATATTACACACATAATGCCAGTATTTGAGGGAAATACCAAAGATTCAAGAGCAATAATAGAAAAATGATAATATAATG